TCGCTACGTCCCAACTATGTAGAAAATGTACAAAGATGTGAAATCACGCGACATTTTTTTTTTTTGATCACGATTAAAAAAATTATTCATCATCCCTATTCTTTTATAGATCCTTAAAAACAATAATCAAACCATCGTTTTCAGTAATAAAAAGGTTTTATAGAATATTGAATATAATTGAGATTAGGAGAGCTAAAGTAAATGTAGCCTTTGTAGAGGAATTGCATAAATCTATATTGCATATCGTGCAGGTTTGCAGGTTGCCCGCGTCGCCTATTATCTTCTTACAATGTGCCAGTTCGTTATTTGGTACTTCTGTACAACTTCGAATGACATTTTGTTCTCCATTAACTGTAAAATAAAAAGAGATAATTTTATTATCTGTATAAGTCCATAAAATTGTCTTTTTCTAAGTCACTCGCAGATTATATAGTATATAAATTTTGGATATAATAATAAACAGTAATCTAGAGGTGACAATTGTTTAGACTACACATCCACGTTTTCAAGATTCCTTAATTTTCGCCAGCGGCTACGCCCACGTAGTTCTGTATAATAAATATAAACCTTCCACTTAAATATATTAATGAAAACCGCATTAAAATCCGTTGTGAAGTTTAAGAAGTCTCAGTGTTACATACAGCAGGAAACTACTTTATTTATACTCTTTTAATATTCTTTGTAATCGGTATCCATAAAAGTATTAATTAATTGAACAATCCAGTGGAAAAAGAGTAATTACTGAAAAATATTTAACCATTCCAAAAATATATGAAGCGCTTATATTAGATAATTTGTTGAACAGTGAAAAATAACAAAGCTGGCCGAAAATACGGCAAGTATTTTTTATATACACACTATTTAATTCAACCTTCCTGCAATATTCAAGCATATTTCAAAGAATACTAGAAAATAATTAATTTACCTTCAAAGTAAGCTACCAGACATCTTAATCTATTCTCATTGTCCGCTCTAACTTCTGGCTCTGTGATTGGAGTACCGTTGGGTTGTACGGCGCATGTCTGAATGTGGGTTTGATCTAGTGTATGACAGTTTGTACATTCATAACACCTCAGTGCGTCTGCTGTAAAAAAAATACCATTTAAAATAAATTTATTTGAAGCTTTATTATTCTCTCCTATTGGTGCCAATTCTGATGTACCATTTCTAACTTCAATTTGAATTTCTCGTCTCGTTAACCATAGTTATATTCCATAGCTTAAGAAATATACTCAGAATAGCATAGATATAATATAATGTTCAATTGTCACATTATTTAAGACGCAATTTGACAGGATCAAACCTAAATTTAATGTAGTTTATGCAAGAGCATTGCTATAATTATCAAAAAGTTATCTATTTACCATATCCATGAAAACCAATGATGACCAATACAACAGGAACACAGAGAATGAAATTGATATTAATCATAATGGATTATTTTTTACAAAAGAAATCCAAGTTGTTTTATTTGTTATTTTTATGTAGGTAAATTATTCAAATTAATTTAAGTTTTTAATTTACTTTTAACCGAATAAATTAAAAAAATAACATAAACTTTACCACATTTGCAAATTAAATACTTAGGTTTGATTCAAAACCTTATCAGGGCGTAGATAACTTTATCAAGACGTCACTTGATAGTGAAAATATAACATTGAAATCGATATCCATAATTCTGTCCAGACTATTAATATGCAATCCTATCATAATAACTTTATAATGTGAATTAAGTATTAATTATCTGCACAATTTTATACTGAAAAGTTTGTTTGTTTCAACTCGCTTATCCCAGGAACTACTGGTTTGAAATGATTTTTTTTTGTGTTGAATAGACCTTTATCGAAGAATGTCATCACGCGATGTATAACAGGAGTGGAGCAGCAATGAAAAATGTTGCAAAAAGGGAGATTATTATATTTTTTGAGAGCTTTCCTTGTTGACGATGACGATGATATTATAATATAATGCTATTGACGTCGGGTATTTAATCTATACCTTACAGAAAACAGTAAAATCGTTAAATAGTATTTTCTTGGATGAGTCGCTTTTAAGATCACTCAGGCATTCTTTATGGGTGGTTAAGGAGGATGAGCCATTACCCTCCACACAGGCCCAATGCGGATCGGAGGGTATTAACGACTGCAAATGCAGTCGGAATCAATGGCTTTCCTTGCCTTCCGGAGCACGGAGTAGCTCGAAATAATAATTTTTGGTCACCCATCCCGTGTCCCTTCCGAAAGTTGCTTAACAAGAACGATTGCGGGCCGCGGCGTTTATCCACTACGCCTCTAAGCTACTCAAAGTGCTTTTAAGATAAGTATTATATATCACTTTTTTGAAGTCAGATGAATTTTTTGAAAAAACCATTTTTTTTGTTTTATTACTTTATTGCACAATGCACACAATTCATATGCATTATTGAATAAAGTCTAATTTACTCGAAATATTTTATTATTAGTGACTATAGAAAACGACAAATATTTTTATTTAAGCACTTTTGAATCGTCTAAATTTTTCCCTACCTCTCGGCCAGGACGTCTTATGACTGACAAAGAAGAACAAGCAAAAAACTTACCAGCTGTTTATCAGAAGTAAAAGCATTTCCATATATCGTATATTCACTTTCATAGTTCAAACGATGCACAGAAATACTGCTTTCCATTCTTTGCTCAATAAAAACATCTCGAGACCAACTTTCAATGTAAAGTTGCAGCTCTCAAGTTCCGATTACAAAAAAATATTACGTTACTATCGAAACTCTTTGAGTATTAAAACTCTAAATCGAAATCCATTGAATCGTCGAATCGAGCCATAGTTGAGTACTCAAACACCATAATACAACTGAAAATGACTGAGAGATAAATATCTAACTTCAACGTTTAAAAAATTTTGTCAATTGTAACTCTTGGCTCTTTAGTCTCATATAGTGTAGCCACAACGGTTCTTCAACATGTACGTACCAATAACAGCTCTTAAGCTGCCCAATGTGTAAAATTTTAACTATACGGTATACGGTGTTTCTTTCGAAATTTACATTTGTTGTTATTAGGATAGATATTCAAAAATAAAACGACATAGGTAGTTGTGAAATATCTTATCATTAAAAAAATAAATGAAACTACCGACCGGCTCGTACCTCGTTTTCAAGGTATACATCGAAAATTCATAATGATTCATATGTAATAATATTCACGTAAAGCTTTAATTACATCTGCACAATTATTCTTGAAATCAGTCGCGATCGATCGACATTGGAGCCAAGCGCCGATTGCGTTAATATCGAGTGGTTCTTAAATGAACTTAATTATATAGGGTAAGGATGCCGAATATGAGATACCATTTTTATTTTTGGATATAAAACATAAATTATTGCACTAATCATTATGAAAATTGCAATATTTGATAGGGTATTTAATGAAGTTTATTTATGAGAGACCGTTTAGTTCTGAGTATAATAGATTTTTTATTATATCAAAAAATATTAAGAAGTTCAGAAATTACGTCTCAGGCAAATGGTCTCCTATTATGAGATACTGAGGGTTGCTAATATGAGACAGTATCTCATATTAGGTTCTTTAGGGTTTGAGTATAGATTTGGAGAAAAAGGAAAGAAATTAATTTGAATTAAACTTTTTATTGGCTATATTCTCTAATTAACAACATCATACTCCTAAATAAATAGGTCTGAGAACGACTTAATATATGTATGTAACGTAGATAGTTATAATTTATATTAAACTTATCATAATCAGTGATTTTCAAATGGCACTTATTAAACAGTATCAAAAACAAAAGTATTATGCTAAGTCTTAGATATGATTTATGTCAGACTCATCATAATCACAGAGATTTTCAAATCATACTTATTAAACAATGTTAGTAATCAACAAAAGTCAAAACTTTTATTTTATTAGATATTTAAACTCAAACACAAAAATCGATCTGTGGTTACTTTTCCACGATCCATGGTCTCAGGATTTCCTTTTGATCGGCCCCATCTAGTAAAAAGGATTTTTCAAATAGTCATATTTTTATATATCCTAATACGAGATATCTCATTTTAGGAGCACTCGCATGTCTCATATTAGGAAAACATCTACATGCAACAAAATGGCTGCACATTATTTCTCAGTAAAGAAAATGTAATAAAACTGCATATGTATCATAAAATTCATGATATAATTGATAGAATGACGGTAAATTAAAATCATTCAGTGTAATTAATACAGCTGTAGTATACCTTGTAAATATTTGATGAGAAAAATTTGGTTTTGGGGTTTCGTGAAAACCCACGTGTACACAACCTAACTTCACCTTGGACTGGGAAGCACTAACACACGTTTTGATCTTTTGCCACGTGGCTTCTAGCGACAGTAGCACCAAATGGCTGCGGCGATTAGTTTCGCCAAAACCTAACTATCTCATATTTGGCCACTATCTCATATTCGGCATCCTTACCCTATAATGATATTGAGTAGTAGTAGTAGTTTGTTTCGTCCATGGAACAGGCGAAGGAACCTAGACATACTGCCAAACCTTGAGTGGGTTTTTTTCATATTTTATTTTCAAGCAGCTAATTCTTAATTTAAAATTTCTTCTTTGTCTTGTTCAGGGTTATTATATACATATCCGGGACGGTGAAATCAGATTTCTCCAAGAGTAGAGTTAATATAATCATTAACCATTTGTTCTGAAGGCGATCGTAATTTTTCTAGTTCGAGTCAATCATCTCTTATACTATGCTATAACTTTTTTTGAGACACAATAAAATTAGTTGAGTAGGTATCACAATAAAACAGTTGAATTAAATAAATAAAATTTATTATTATTTAGATCATTACGAAATGTGTAAACCTACTTATTTACTTTATAATTATTTATTTACAACTTATAAAAAATGTCTCTGTTGCTTTAGAAACCAAGTAATGGCTAAATATCAAATCATTTATATACATGCAAAGTGGGTATAATTTCTGAATACAGAAAGACCCTCTACTAATTCAGTCAAACTTAGCTTAATACCAATTACGGTTTGACCTCGTTCAAACACGATTGATATTGAATAAACAAAGTATTAACACGAAGACCTTATTGAGACCTACAGAATATATACTAAAATTGTGATAAAGAGAAGAGCAAAAGCAAACGTGGCTTTTGTCGAGGAATTGCATAAATCAGTATCGCAGAGCATGCAGCTTTGCAGGTCGCCTTCAAAGTTGCCACCTATTGCTTTTCGACAGCGTGCCTCATCCTCATCTTCTGACACTTCTGAACAACCACGAACAACGTTTTGTTCACCGTCAACTGCAAAATTAAAAATGGTGTTAAATCTTATATAAAAATAGGTATTACGCGAACAATAAGAGAAGTGAAATGTTATTAATTTGTTAAAATTATTATCAGCATTTGTTTCATTAAGCCATTGATTTGGTCTGCATGTGCAGTATATATAGTGAAGGCCCGTGCTCCAGCTATAAGCACATAGGCTGATAATGATGTTTTGATAATATAAAGTAATTCACAACTAGAAATAGTAAATTCAGCTAATTTTATATTTCAACCTCTCTTTAATAATACATACTTGAAGTACTAAAAGAAAATAATCCATTTACCTTCATAGGAAGTTACGAGACATCTAAAATTGCTTGCATCATCTTCTCTCGTTTCGCGTTTACTTCTTGCAGGCAAAAAGTTGTAAAGATTCTTATTGTTGATTAGCTAAAATAATAATGTATTATGTTCATAAACAAAATAACTTTATCATGGAGCCTAGAGTGACGAAAATAAAGTAATAAAAAATGCATACCTGTACATCATACTTAATAGACTCTTCTAGACCTCCTTCTGGACCCCCTTCTGGACCTCCTGCTGGACCCTCTTCTGGACCTCCTTCTGGACCCTCTTCTGGACCTCCTTCTGGTACTTCTTCTGGACCTCCTTCTGGACCTTCTTCTGGACCTCCCTCTGGACCACCTTCTGGACCTTCTTCAGGACCTTCTTCAGGACCTTCTTCGGGACCTTCTTCGGGACCTTCTTCGGGACCTTCTTCGGGACCTTCTTCGGGACCTTCTTCAGGACCTTCTTCAGGACCTTCTTCAGGACCTTCTTCTGGATCTACAGGGGGTGGAGTAGTAAGTGGCGCTAAAGTCGGTATAGAAACAGGAGGAGGAGTTTGTGGTGCCGTAGTGGTAGTAGTTGTGATTTCAGTTGTATTTGGTTCTTCTGGATCTATTGAGTTTGTAATGGATTGTGTCTCTGTTACTGTTTCTGTTACCGTTTCAGTTACCGTTTCTGTTACTGTTTCTGATGATATTTCTGTTGTTGTATCTGTTGTGGCTTCAGTCGGTTCACTGGGCGACGCTTCTGACTCTGTGGTCGGAGCAACCGTGGTTTGCGGAGTACATGTCTGAATGTAGTCATCATTTACAGTAGAACAGCCAGTACATACGTAACATTTCAGGGCGTTCGCTGAAAAAAAATATTATATTAGTAATATAATTAAATATTATGTAAATATTAGTAATTAAGCAACTTTACGTAATGTTTGTGATGCATTTTGTAACGTAATGTGTGTCTATCTGTAAGCAAGTCTTAGGGGTGTTGAAAATTAGTGTCGTTGCAAAGGTTGCTTTGGCTCATTTTTGATTTGTTATATTATTTTGTCAAATAAACACTTTCTATTCTATTCTGTTAAATCTGTTACACCTGTTCCTGTTCCAAGAAAATTTTAGATTCAGAAACCTATTCCAAAATAACAGCCTGCTTAATATGCTAACATCTAAATCTATAAAGCACAGCTATTTACTAATATAGTTTTTTACGCCATAAACAAAATGTATCAAGAGTTGAGTACACCTGCAGCTATAGGTGAGGTATTAAAAAATATCTACAACGTAATAAAATAAATTGACATGGTAGATCGATAAGATCATACGTAAACGAGTATGTACATATATTTATAACATATCAGTGATAAAAATACAGGGATATTTGTAATCAAAGTTTTCAAAAAATATTCAAGGGCATCATCGGATTTTTACTGGCCTTACTAATAAACAAAAAGTAGGTGATAGGTGTACTAAACTGAAAGACACATTGGCGATTACATGAAAAGAGTTACATAAGTGTAACTAAACAACGGTTATACCTAAGTTTGTATTTATTTTTTACCAAAAGACACGATGCAACTTTTGTCCTTTCAGATTGTATTCACCGACTAACTATGTGAATGTACGTGAATATGTTATTCACAGGTTAATTGGCATAATCACCCAAATTTTTTTTGCACTTATATATTCTTATCTGAAGTTCACAAGCACATGACTAATAATATTAATTCTCCAATGAGGTGACGCGCCTCTGGTAGATAGAAGCAGGTTTAAAGTGCCGGCGATAAGTACTTTAATGCGTAATCTTAACCATTAAATGTATTATTTTAATAAAAAAATTGTTAAAGATGCTGAAATGAATAAGGAATTCTAAAAAAGTTTAGCAAAAATGTTTAGTGATTAATTATTTATATTATTATGCATATATCTACAACACAACAAGAGCTACAATCTACAGACTGTTTGCAGCTGCTGTCTCAATTTTAGAAAGCTACACTCAATTTAACACGACCCGTTGTATAAATTACGGCACTATTTATATTTTATAATAGTTATTTTGAACATGCTTCAAAATTTGCACTTTGATTCCCGCTCTTCTAGTGAGAAAGCAGTCTAAAGAATGTGTTTCATTATACACTACAAAACTTTCACTTACTGTTTCCATTAGAACTAATGATGGCCAGAAGGATAGAAATACACAATAATATTTTAGTGCTAATCATAATGGCGATTTTTTTTTTCAAATTAATGCAGCCTTTATTCTTACTTTACCTATATATAGGCGAATTATTATCAAAGATATGAAATTTTGTTAATTACATTTTGATAACATAAAATAATCAATTAATTATTAGTAGTTTCCGGACGTCTTAATACTTTATCTCTGATACATCGATACCGTGTAAGCATAGCATATTATTTGTACTAGGTGTTTTATTTTTAATTTATTATAATTACAAACACATTAGATACAGGTAAATTATTTGATTTCGCAAAACGTGAAATAGCCATCCACGCATCACATAAGGGAGTCGATAGTTAGTGATTACAGTTTACAATGCGGGAGTTGCTGAGAATGTCTTAAACTTTTACAAGGCTGGTTATAGGATGAGTGACCAAAATTGTATTATCTCGAAAGGCACTTTAAGCCATTGGTGTCTACGGAATCAGCATTCATTAATTCCCATCAATCCACACTGGCCCTGCGTGGTGGGTTATGGCCACGGCCCGTCAACTCCCTACAATAATCCAATCGCGTAGGGGTCCAGTGATGTATGACATTTCCACACGCCCCTCACCCCTGTCTGTAGATGGAGACATGACACCTGACAGAAACTGTCATTACAACAAAGAGTAAAGATACTAATGTTTTAATTAATCTTTAATTAATTTTACTTGTTGGAATTAATTTATTCATTTCACATTGGCAAAATTGTGTGAAATGCGCTGATATACCATTAATAAAAACAGAAGACTTAAGTATGCACCTACATAACAGGGAATTACAAGTGATTGAGTAAAGTTTCTTTTGTGCTTACCCTGTTCGCTTTATTTGTAATATAAACTCTCCATTTTTCGAAGTATTTTTATTTGTAGAAGATGCCTAAGAAATTGGTGTGTTATGTTATGGTTGTGTTACACGCATTGTTAAAGTACGAACAGGACGCTATTCTTTGTAAGATTCTAGTGAACGAGAAAAGATTCTCCAAGTGGTTACAATGTCTTAGTGCTGTGTGTGATACTGAAAATTTTAATCCAGGTAGAAGTGTTATTTGTAGCAAACACGATGTACCAAGATTCATCACTCCAAAATCATGACTCTTGGGTGATGCATATCCGTCATTGTTTAATGATGACGGGCTCTCAATCAGCCTACCCTCTTCAAGCAATACTGGTAAGGCTGGTTTAATCTGCTATTACCTTTAGATAATGTAATTAAAATGATATGTATCTTCACTTTATGTTGTGTTTTGGAATACAGCTATTCTTCATTAGATTTTTTTTTATTACAGAAATTATATTCACTTGGGAACACAGCTATGCAAGAAAAAGTCATGTTGACCACACATATTAGAAAGTGGAACTGAACAGAGGTTTGTTTTTAATTTACTTTATTTAGACAACAAAGTTCATGCTGCAGTTTTGGTGTATTTTAATATAGATTTTTACTTTAAAAAAGTCTAGTAGATCTCTCTTTCTTACACATATAAAGAAAAATTACATTAAGTTACTTAACTGTGGGCACGCTAGAAGTGATTTTGATCAGAGAAAAAATTGATAATATAAATAACATATTTCTAATATCATCTAAGATTATATCCTGTTTTTTAATCTTACACACATAATCAATATTGATTTCATAGGTGGTGTAATTTTAAAAGAACAAATTGAGACTCCTGTGTCTGCAGCCACTGAGTTTACTCAATTAGTTGCGTGCTCTGGAGATTAAAATATGACACAAACTAAACTATCTGATAAGACCTGCCTCTTTCTTTAGTGTATCTTTATTTCAATCAAATAGTAGTTCTAATAGAGAAATTCACTGAATACTTTTGATGTTACAGACCCTGTGAAATGTACCCAAACAAAAAGGAAAAGGCTTATTACCAAATAAAGCCAATTGTCACCTTTATACCAGAGAATTTATGAAGAATATAATAAGCCAAAGACGTAGTTTAACTTTCTTAAAAAAGTTAAGAATACTTAAATACCTTTAAGTTTTGTGAAAAGTTATCATTTGAGAAGTTCAGACAAAAAATGAACACAGTTGCAAAAATGTTTTTAAAATGCATGTGAGCATGTGCTCTAAAAATAAACATGAGAGGTGATTCACTACCGAAGAAAAGATAATTGCTTTATCAATATCAAAGCAGAGTCTAAAGTGTTATTGATTTTTAAGCAAAATTTTTTATTTTATCATCCAAAAATACACTGAATACTATGATTAGAAAAATGATCATAGAACCAGGCTTCATGTAAGAGGTAAATATATTCCATATAAGTTTTTTCATACTACTTTTATAATTTTATGTATTACTACCAAATAATAATATTTTCTTTTTCTACTACTATTTGAATTTACTTTTTCAGATGGACAAATGAAACTCCAAAAAAAATATACTACATTATATTTGATGAGATGTCATTAGAAACAGCACTTTCGTATAATAAAAGTAATAAGGATTAAAGATAACATTAATGGATTTGTAGAACACCAAGAAAAGAAAGTGGATTTTGCAGATCATACTCTTGTATTTATGTTGGTGCTGTTTACAAGTGGCAGCAGCCTTTATGTTTATTTATTTCTGTCGAGGAGTGACATCTACTGTACATCAAGAATATTTTAAAGTTAGTAGTAGAAAAAGTTGTTGAACTGGACCTTAATCCCATCGCAATAATATATGACCAAGGCTCAGCTTTCCAATCAGCCCTCAAAAATCTAAAGAAGACACTTAGTGTGATCAAATTTTAAATTGAAATCACAGGTTGGTACAGAGAATTATATTTATATGAAAGAAAACTAATAGATTTAATGAAAGTAGTGAAGGTTCTTATTTTTATATAGTTATCAATGTTTTAAGAAGTTCTTAAATTTTTGTTTCAGTTGGCATTCTTAAAATATGTGGGGTGGATTTGAACATTATGATTCTCCACACTTGATAAAATGTATCAGGAATAATTTTGGTGGTAAACTTGCAAAATGGCATGATATTATTTATGTCTATGAGACAGACTGTCAACACACTGAAGCTGGGCTACGTCATAAATTAAATGACCAATGAGTTATACCTGATAAAATTAAAAAGATGAAGGTAATGCATTGGTTATTATATTAGTATAACTTAAATTAGTATAAATAAAATAAATAATTTGTATTCAGCTTCTATATTCTCTATCAGAGCAAGTGTTGATTCAATTACCTGTATTTTTAATTATGTAACGAGTAGTTAATATAGTTTACACTTAAATTACAATAATGATTCTCTAATGAAGATAATTTTAAATATGATATCTCTTTTTGCAGGTAAAAAATTGTGTAAAAATATGTCTGCAGCTTTGTCTTACACTGCAAATTTCTGTGAGTATTAGATGAAATTTACTAACAGTTAATTGTTTTGAATCAAGTTTCATACAATTATTATATGAATATTTTAATTTGCAGCAACTTATGAGGATGTGCACAACATTAAGAAATGCAGCTGAAGTTGTTTCATTCTTTGACCAATTATTTGATAGTGTCAATGGAGCATCGATAAACAAAAAAAGCATAAAGGAAAAGAGCTGTGACAGATAAGACACACCATCATTCTTTCTGGCCAAAGGCAATTGAAATTTAAGAAAAACTTAAATATGCAAAAATCAGTGCCCTCTTTAAAAAAAATTGTGATTACCTTGAAAAGTTTCATAAGGTTGTGCCACTAACAAAACGTAGCTAGGAATTGCCGAGAATGCAGAAGAGAGCTGTGAAAAATATAATAAGTTAAAAAATAAATTATTCAATAAATAATATTGGAAAAATGTGTGTTTTATTTACGTGTTCAATTTTCCTTTATTGTTTTAATACAACAATAATAATAAGCTAGACTTATCAGTCTGCTTTATTATTATTGTTGTATTAAAACAAAAAAGGAATTTAAATTAAAGTAAAAATAATATGGAAACTAGGAAGACGGCTAGGTACCTACCCAAAACAGGGCTGTATAGCTAAATGCCTTTGCCGATAGTAGATCTATATTTTAAAACGAATGAAGCTGTCATGTATCACTGGCTCCCAATCACGTTCTACGAAGAAATTTTTTGTTAGGAAGTTGGTCGTCTGATACCTACTAAGTCTGTGGTTATGGCCCGTTCTCACTTTTCGACTCGCCTGTGCCCCAGCAGTGGGCACATTAATGATGATGATGACACCATATAATAAAATACCATAACAACCATATAACCTTTGGAACTCTCATATAGTGTTATTAATAAACAAGGTTTAGCGTTGAAGTAACATTACGCTAAGACTGCACTTATTAAACAGAGACTTAGCAAAGGTTAGCCTAGTACGAGATTGTACGGTACATATTTACTCTTAGAAGGTAACAGGTTTGCTTATTATCTGTATAATATGAATTTGGACCACTGCTAAATTAATAGCACTGATAGTGTTTATTTATATTATAATTATTCATTTATCATAAATTATCGAGTGGTAATGCGTAAATTCCACATAATTGATCATAAATCAATTCGTGTCATCAAAATTCGTGTAGTTTCCATTTGAATTTGTTTTCACATTAGAAATTTAAACTATTAGCACTTTAATTCTACATAATAAAAATTACTAACTATCCATCATATATTTTATCAGTGAAGATAGATTCTAATAAACTGCAGTGATGAAATCTAATATCCAGACAATACGATATTGCGATTATTCAGATCTATCTCTTATAATCAAATATGAATTGTATTATATCATGCAGTCGGGACCAATGTATGTATTATTGAGTATTTTATCTAGCTATACAATCAATTCCTGATATCTTAATAATTATACATTATCAACTAATAAATAATGACTAATACACAGCTGTATTTATTGCAACTTTTAAAGGACAGTAAATAACAAAAGAGGGCCTTTATAACAGAAGTTCTTATGTCATGGACAGCAAATGGCATATCAAAATTTTGAATGCCAGAATAATCTTAAGTCAAAAATTTTATACTTATGCATGACTTGTTTTTGCCCGCGACTTCGTTCGCCTGGTAAA